AAGAAAGAAAGAAAGAAAGAAAGAAAGAAAGAAAAACCGAGGCCCAAAGGGATTGATAGATTTGCCTAAAGTCACAAAGATATTAAGCAGCAGAGCTGGTAACTGCACCCCAGTACTATAACTCCAAAGGCTACATTCTTCTCATAGCACTTTACTATTTCATTTCATGATCAACATTTTTAAAAAATAGCTCAATGACAGTATCTCTATTTAGATATGCAGTCTAGGGACCTCCTGTACACCCACAGAAAGTAAACTGCTCTCTTCAATGCTGGGGAATGGAGCATAATTCTAGAAAATTCCAGTCAATTATCTTTTGGGGAGGGAAAGAAAATTCAGCTTAAATTTTCACTAAAAGTGTTTATTTAGCCATTAAAGGTAGCATAAGCATTTATGTTTAGCACCAAAATAAGGTACAACTTTTATTCATATTTTCATAAGCAATTCTATGCTCCTTAGATCATAGGTTTCATAGGTAGCCTAGAACCATAGATACAGAACTAGAAGGAATTTTAGAAGTTATTTAGTCCAACCTACTCATTTTATTGATGAGGAAACTGAGACCCACATATAAAGTGACTCACTCAAGAGTTAAGTAACTGAATTTGGATTTGAACTCAAGTCTGGTAACTCCAATTTCACTGCTCCTTCCACTGCATATTATTTGAGAATACAAATAATTTCTGAGAAACACTAGGATAGAGTATTAACTAAAAAAAATGTTTTTTAACTTACTCTATTCTTATAATATCCAAAAGGAAAAATAAAACAATCCCAATGAAATCCTTGCCTCTAAACCTTTTTTTTTTTGCCACTTTATCCTGTCTGTAGTAAGTAATATAAGTCTAAAACCAAGAGCCAGTATTATATGTAATTAGGATAAACTAGTGGACTTTCCAATAAGATCAGGGGTAAAGTATGCCCGTTGTCACCACTACTATTTGAAGTAGTGCCATAAATGCAGACAAACAGATAGATAGGCAGATAGATAGAAAGATATAATTGCTATATACAAATGTATATACATATATGGGCAGCTAGGTGTACAGTGGTTAGAGTGCCAGGTCTAGAGGCAGGAAGATTCATCTTCCTGAGTTCAAATCTGACTTCAGACATTTACTAGGTATGCGACCCTGGGTAGGTCACTTCACCCTGTTTGCCTCAGTTTCCTCATCTGTAAAATGGAGAAGGAAATGGCAAACCACTCCAGTATCTTTGCCAAGAAAACCTAAATGGGCTCACAAAGAGTCAGACATGACTGAACAACAATAACATAAATGCAATTACATATATATACATACATATATAGAACTGCTATATATAAAACTATATTGCTATATATATAAATATTTTATATATTATACATATATAGTAATAAGACTACCAAAAAATTGCAAGAATAACAATAGGCAAAGAAAAAATACAATTATTACTTTCTGCAAATGATATATTATACTTAGAGAACCACAGAAAATCAACTTTAAAAAATCTAATTGAAATAACTGATAACTTTACTAAAATTGCAGGATAAACCTATGTAGACCACTTTATCCCGTTAAGCACTGAATCCATTTCTCTCCAGCAAGTTCAGGAAGGCACCAACAACATATCTCCTCAGATGCTATTGTTCAGAAGTTTTTGGTTGTGTCTGACTCTTTGCGAGCCCATTTAGAGTTTTCTTGGCAAAGGTATTAGAGTGGTTTGCCATTTCCTTCTCCAGGTCATTTTACCGATGAGGAAACAGGGTGAAGTGACTTGCCCAGGGTTACACAGCTACTAACAGTCTGAGGCTAGATTTGAATTCAGGAAGATGAGTCTTCCTAACTCTAGGCCCAACACTCTATCCACTGCACCACCCAGCTACCCATCTCCTCAGATGCTGAATGGAAATTCGGCAGAGTGGCTAAATGTTTACCACTCGTAAGAGTATTCTTCAAGACATATGACTAAAATCTTAGGGTGACACTGCTTTTCTTGTAGCCTGAAAAAGATGAAAAAGATGAGAAAGAGGAGAATAAGATTCTGCTAAAAGAACAACCTCAGAGAGGTTATGGTGGGAATGGAACAAGGATGTAAAACTGGTTGCTACTTTGATCCTGTCAGTCTCTGTGACATCTGTTTTGCTCTCAGATATCCAGAGAGAGTGGATGTGGTAAAGTTATTCTTTACCTAGTAGCTGACTAACTGTACTAGTTGTGCAGAAATTCAGAAATCATTCTATGTACTGATTGTTCAATGTTTCATAATGCGAGCTTCAAATGTAGAAGAGAAGATTAGCAATGTGCTTTCCATTTCTGCCCCTTCCAAAGCATCACTGTAAAGACAGCCTGGTACAGTCAAAAGAGCCTGGGTTAAAATCTCAGCTTTGCTTCTTATAATCTGAGTGACCTTGAGCGAGTCATTTCCCACCAAAACCTACCTGTTTCCCTACCTGTAAAATGATGGGGTTGACCTAACTACAAAACTATGATCAAATCTCAAAGCCCTGTGGAATCTCCCCTCCACCCCTATTCCATCACCCCCTGACCTGTCCAACTGAATCTTCTCTTGACCTAACCCAGCAATCCGGAAGAAAATTCTGCAATGCTGTTTCTTTTTCATTTAATTCAACAATAACAGTATACTTTATAATAATTTATTTGACCTTTCAGAAGTAAAATAACCACCTAGAGGTGAAGTTTCCTGCTTCTACAAGACAAAATTCAAGAGCAATCTTTTTCTTGCTCAATTTTTTACTCGAACTTAAGAGCCAACTTTATTACAGTCCAAGGAGTCCTGAAAACCCAGAACTGCCCCATTCTCCAACCATGCCACCTGCTACTTGAGATTCTGGGGTGAACTAGGATTTAGGACTCAATCTCTAAGTACAGTATATGTTGAATGATTTTTCAGACACATTTTTATCTTATAACAGATGTTTCCATTAAGTGAAATACCCTTAGATTATTACTTTTTGTTTCTCAAGACTCAAACTGTCTAGCAGAACATCTCCAGACACCAGCTCTCCCTCCAGGTGTGTCAATTGACCCTGAAGATCTTCAAAATGCTTTTCAGCTTTCTGGGCCCTTTGCAGAGCTTTCTGGTGAAGTCCATTCTCATTCTCCAATTGCTCAGTCAGTTTAGCTATCTGAGCTTCAAGCTGAGAAACCATCTGGAAAGAAAGAAACAGAACAGGACTGAGCTTCATTTGAAATGAAAGAAAGTGTTAAAAAAAAAAAATGAGCGCTAATTCACTCCAGCAAACATATTTATATTATCACCTTACAGATTCAAATCACTTGATTTCTTTAGAGGAAAAAAAATTGCCATACAAAATCTAAAACAAAACACTAATCATATTTACCTCTGGTGCAGAGACAAACTCTATTTTCACTATCTAACAAAATCTATTTACATTATTTTGGGGGGGCTAGGCAATGGGGTTAAGGGACTTGCCCAGGGTCACACAGCTAGTAAGTGTCAAGTGTCTGAGGCCAGATTTGAACTCAGGTCCTCCTGACTCCAGGGCCAGTGCTCTACCCACTGTGCCCCCTAGCCACCCCCTACATTATCTAATATAGCCTGACATTTGGCCTGAGACACTGAGTCAGTTAAGTGACTTGACCAGGGTCACACAGCCAGTAACCAATGAATCAGATCCATCCCTATAATGCCTTCCACTAAGAGAGGCTGAGGCTGACGGATCACTTGAGTTTAGGAATTCTGAGCTACAGGAGCTAAAGCTGATCAATCGGGTGTCCGTACTACATCTAGCACCACCATGGTAAGTGCTGTTGGTATGGAGATAACCCGGTGTTCTCAAAGAATCACAAGATGTAGAACTGTGTGGGATCTTAAAGATCAAGAGAGAATGCAATATGATGGAAAGTTCACCAGCTCTGGAGTCAGCGGACCTGAATTCAAATCCTGCCCTTGATTTTTTACTACCTGTTTGACTTTGCACAAGTTACTAAATCTCTCTGAGCCTATGTTTCCTCATCTAGAAAATGAGGGGTTTGAACTGTCTGGCCTCTAATGATCCTTCAAGTCCTACATCTGTGGTCTAACAAAAGCCTCTTATTTTACAGATGAGGAAACTAAGGTATGACTTGCCCAAGATCATAGAATTCACACCCAGGTCCTCTGGCTCCAAAGGCTATGCTAGAAGAGCCCAGGCTCTGACAGGTCTCATTGTAATCATTCCCCCGGTAAAGGAAAAACTTCAAATCTAGACCTGGTGATTGATTCGAGATCTGTCATCCTAGGACCCAATTAGATAAGCTGAAAGATGCTCATCACGAAAGGGTTGGCTGAAAGGAAGGAAATAAGCATTTATGAAGTACCTACTGTGTGCCAGGCACTGTGCTAAGTGCTTTACAAATATTATCTCATTTGATCCTCACAACAATCCTGGGAGGTCTGGGCTATTATTATCCTCAATTTATAGTTGAGGAAACTCAGGCAGACAGAGAGGGTAAGTGACTTGCCCAAAGTCACACAGCTCATTAGTATCCAAGGCTATATTTGAACTCAGATCTTCCAGACTCCAGACCCAGCCTGCTTCTAGGTAATAAACTGTTTTTCTCACAGCAACTCAGCAAAAAGCTGACCAAGGTGTAAAAGGGTTATAATCCGGCATCAGTGGAGGTGGTACACAGATAAATGAAATCATGGACCCTTAAAGTTGAAGTGTTGAAGCACTTGCAGACGTCTTTCACGTGCATGCAGGCTCCCAGTAAAGTTCACTGAAGGAGGTCATGTTGCTGTTGCTCTTGGCAGGAAGAATGATGGACAGACCCAGGTTCACCTGCAAGTCACGCTTTGTGGGAGACCATAACATAAGAGAAATAAATCCACTTCTGTTCATCCTCCCTCTTCCTCACCCCCACTCCCCAAAAAAAGAGTTCACACCTCAACATAATTACAACTTTGGAAGAGAGAGACCAAAGTGAACACAGTAAGAACAGGAAACAGAAACTCTCCACTAGAACTCTAAGAAAAGGAGATGAGATTCTCTCCCACACAGTGAGCCCTGCCATTTGAGGTTTACAGAAAGAAAATCAGGTTTTAAGGCCAACCTAATGGTCTTCTTGTGGTCTTGTTAAAGAGTTTCATTAAAGGTAATTAGGGGTTTCCCCAAAGACAAATGATCTATTTTCTGTCATCTTCATGTATGCTACTCAGAAGCTTCTGGGCATCCTGCAATTTCTAGTAAGAACATCAGCTCTTCTAGCAATAACTCTTAAACAATTTTAATTTAATCTGTTTAAATCTTACTCATTTTTAAATTTACTAGTTTAAAATAATTTAGTTCACTCCAGAAGTAAAGCTTCCTTTGATGCTTACCTTTTTCTCTATATGCTTTGCCTAGCAGCAGAAAGCTCTCCCATAAATCACGTCTTAGGTTTCCCTGTATCTCCCCACAGTGCCTAACATTGCACTATATATTTATATAGGCACTCAATGAATATTCATCTTTATTTTGCACATTAGAAATAGAGTGCTTCATTTTTCTCCTACATATTCATTTGATTCAATGACAAGTCCAGAAAAGGAATCCAGAACTCCTTTGGGAAAATGTTATTATATAAACAATGCTCAGCCTTTAAATATTAAAGAAAGAAAATGTAAGGAATGAAAACAATAAATGCCAGGAGTTTTTTCTAGCGTACCGTAAGTAATTTCACATGGCATAGCATAGGGGATAGGAAGCTAACTCTGAAGCCAACAAGACCTGGGTCCAGTTTCTTCCTCTGACACATACTTGTGTGACCCTAAGCAAGTCACTTAATATCTCAATGCTCTAGGTAAATCTAAGACTTTAACCTGCAGAGAAGGTGTAGACTGAATTCAATGGTAGAGAGTTTATTTTTTTTTAATTAAGACATTCTGTAGAACAGCAGTATCAAACTCAAAAAGAAACTCAAAAAGAAACAGAGCCAGTAAACTATACATAAACATCCCTGCCAACCTCCTATTAATTTAGAAACCACATAGAACACATTCTCTGTATTCTATTGTATTTTAATTTTATTTTGTTAAATATTTCTCAATTACATTTTAATCTGTTAGGCTCCACTCAAGGAGTGGATCACATGTTAGATACCTCTGCTACCAAACGATGAAATCAAGCCCAGTCCCTCTCCCTATCTGTAAATACCTTCCCACATGACTGCTAGTTAGGCTAGGCCATTACAGCATTGGAGTTAATTTATTTAGGAACTGAAAAGAAGGCTGAAGAAATTGTACTAGAGCCAGCTCCAATTGGGTTGAGAGAGTCAATTGTTAAACTTTCAATACGAGCATTTTTACTCAGAAATGAGCAAATACTGCAAATCAGGGCTTGATTTATTGCTTTATTGATTGTCAACAATAAAAAGTGATGAAAATGTTGATACTGTGGAATAAGATTAAAGTTAAATGTGTCATGTATACTTTTTTTAGAGAGCTGATTGTTAAATACTTCCCAGTATTTACCTATTTCTACTATGCGATGGCTACCAAATCTACATAGCTAGCCCTGACCTTTCTCCCATATAGTAGACTTACAATCAATCCTCATTATTCACAGATTCCATATTTGCAAACTTGCCTACTCACTAACCTTTATTGGTAACCCCAAAATTAATACTTGAGGCACTTTGGCAGTCATTCAGGGACATGAGCAGAGTGGCGAAAAATTGGAAAGCATGCATGTTCCCACCTCAGGTCAAGCAAGGTGATGCTGTCAACTATTTTCATTACTACAAGTGAGGGGTCAAAGTAGAGATGGGCAGAGTTATGTTGGGAAATCACTATGGTATAGACATAAAAGTAATCAATAAAACTTTAAAAAAAGAAGAAACGAGGGGTAGAATTCAGACCCACCCATTCATCATTCAATGGGAAAGAACAAAGTAACTTCATGAAAACAACTCCATTAAAACACTATCCAATGCAAGTTTTATAGATTTGTTTTTAACATCAGAGATGACAAAGAAATAATTGTCCATGGTTTCTCAATAGCATAAACCATTTTCAGCCTGGTTGATTAGTCATTTTAAAAAAAACAACCAAAAAGGAAGGAAATATTTTCTCTAGATAATCTACACTCATTTCTGAAGGTCTTGCAACTTAACATCTCGTGTCTCATTGTACAAGAAGCCATAATTTCAAAAACATCTGCTACAGGTGTCCTGAACTTTCAAGGTTAAACAACGCCCGGGACCCAATTCAAATTCGTGGCAACCTAGCAGTGATTATTATGAGAAAATAACTTTTAAAATGGAAAAGAAAAGAAAATTTGCTATGGGCAGAAACATAATGAATACACAGAACTAATTTATAGGAAAAGTGAAGATCTCCTAGGTTCTACCATGAATTCTTAAGGTAGGAGAGTATGAAGGATGACTAGTATGCTGCAAAGGATAAATAAAAGGCAATGTTCTGCAAATGGAAACACACCTAAGTTGATTTCGCCAAGCCAAGTCTGACTGCCTTTCGGCCTTCAAACTGGTATTACTCAACTATTTACAGTATGTTTTGCCACATCAGCTGGCAGTCAGCACATTGCCTCTTCCACAAACAGATTTATCGAGTTGTAAAAGTACCAATTTTCCAGAAATACTTTTAAAACAATATGGGAGACCTATTTTCTTCCAATGTTGCCTAAGCATGAGTCACACAAGACAGCAGCAACTATATGCTTGATTTTGGTTTTTAGAAAGGAAAAGGAGCTATTGAAAAAGATTACTGGGTAGGAAAGTCAGATAAAGGCACAAAAAAGACTGAGTCATTCTCATTTTTATGGGGGTAGAGAGGGCGGAACCAGCTTAACCAATTTACATCATTTGCTTTAGAAAATAAACAAATACATCATGCTGACAATTTTATGTTGTTTCACATGCTACAATTAAAAGAGTTTCAGGCAAAGCATTTGGAGGGAAATAGGGAAGGGAAACAATAACAGGGATGTAGGAACAAGCCATTAGCTATTGAAGGCCATTCACTTCCACTTAAGGAAAAGAATTAAATCATCTTTCACAATTAAGATATATTTTAAAAAGAAAGGTTAAGTTATTAGCATAAGCCTTTCTTAAAAATAACTTCCACAGAGCCAAGATGGCAGAATAAAAGCAATGACTTGCTCGAGCTCTCCCCCAAAGCCCTCCAAATACCTGCAAAAAAATGGCCCTAAACAAATTCTAGAGCAACAGAACCCACAAAGAGACAGAGTGAAACAAATTTCCAGCCCAAGACAACCTGAATGGTTGATTGGAAAGGTCTACCGCACTGGGCTGGGAGAGGAGCGCAGTTCAGCGTGGGTGCTTAGGCAAAGAAAGACCAGGCCTCTGTGAACCTGGAGCAGGCTTCAGAGGACTGAATCATGGGCAGCTGTGGCAGTTTCCAGACTTCTCAACTCACAAATGCCGAAGACAACTTAGAAGGTCAATAGGAAAAGTCTGTGACCACGGTGAGAGAGAACCTCAGTCCCAGTCCTAGTCCCAGTACAGCCCCAAGGCGGCGGCTGCTTCCACAGCCTTCAGCCCACAGACTGAGGGGAAAATCAGGTGGCTGGTCAGAGGGGGATTGCAGGGATTTCTTTGCTGGTGCTGAGGCAGGATTCTCTTGCTTTGCCCGTGCTTGGATCTGGGTCACAGTTCTGGGTGGCAATCCTGGGGCAAGAAAGAGCACTGGCATGGTGTAGCTTGTAGCGATAGTGAAGAGGGAATCCCCCTCACAGTTCCAAGGCAGAAAAGAGTGCTTGTGGTCACTCACAGACCAGAGCACAGGCCAGGAAAGGAATAAACAACTCACTCTTGATTGTACCACCTTGGAAGAACTGAAAATTTACAGGTCCCTAGAAGTATCTTTGAAAACAGCTGCATAAAACTCCTGAAGCTTGGGGCAGTACATTCTCCACACTGGAAGCAGTTTAAAAAGTTTAAAACTCGAGTAATTGGCTGGGAACATGAGCAAACTGAGAAAAAAAAAGTCAGATGATACAATCTTTCTTTGGTGACAAAGAAGATCAAAACATATAACCAGAAGAAAACAACAAGGTCAAAGCTCCTACGTTCAAAGCCTCCAAGAAAAATATGAATCAGTCCCAGGCCATGGAAGAACTCAAAAAGGATTTTGAGAAGCAAGGAAGAGAAGCAGGGGAAAAACTGGGAAGAGAAATGAGAGTGATGCAAGAAAATCATGAAAAGCAAGTCAACAGCTTGCTAAAGAAGACCCAAAAAAATACTGAAGAAAATAACACCCTAAAAATAGCCTAAGCCAAATGGCAAAAAAAGGTCCAAAAAGCCAATGAAGAGAATGCCTTAAAAAAACAGAATTAGCCAGATGGAAAAGGAAGTCCAAACGCTCACTGAAGAAAATACTTCCTTAAAAATTAGAATGGAACAAATGGAAGCTAATGACTATGAGAAATCAAGACATTGTAAAACAAAACCAAAAGAATGAAAACAAAAAGACAATGTAAAATATCTCATCGGAAAAATAACTGACCTGGAAAATAGATCCAGGAAAGATAATTTAAAAATTATTGGACTATCTGAAAACCATGACCAAAAAAAGAGTCTAGACATCATCTTTCAAGAAATTATCAAGGAAAATTGCCCTGATATTCTAGAACCAGAGGTTAAAATAGAAATTGAAGGATTCTACCAATCACCTCCTGAAAGAGATCCCCAAAGGAAAATTCCTAGGAATATTGTAGCCAAATTCAAGAGATTCCAGGTCAAGGAGAAAATATTGCAAGCAGCCAGAAAGAAACAATTCAAGTATTACATAACAAGTTACACCATATATAATATTACATATAATATATAATAATATAATACAAGTGTTATATAACAAGTATATAACAAAATCTTGATAAGACTCACACACAGATTAAGAGCATCCTTAATTAAAGTATTAGAAGAGAAATAAATAGGCTTTTGAAACTCATATACAACATTGGTCATATCTTTAAAATCTCATAGTTAATTGAAAGTTATAGGGGTCTATGAGATCCTGTTGTGCTTATTATTTATGAATTACAAAAAAGAAGAGGAAAAAAAAGCAAAAAAAGTATTTGATTCAGCAGAACAAAATACTCCCTTCAGTGTCTCCCATCCACATATCAAGATTTTTCAGGATTCCTTAGAAGATATAATGAAAGAAATAATGCTATTCAATGCCTTTCTGATGATAAACATCAGGAAAGGCATAAAACAGGGAGATATATGCTTGCCAAAAATATTTGACACTGCTGGAAAAAATCCAGCATAGAATCCAGGTCAAGAAGGGATTCCCTGTGCCTGATGAAGTCCTCCAGATACTCCTGTTTGTAGATTAAATTGAACTGATTACAGCAAGCCCCAGGATGTTTCAGAGCCTCCTGGAATATATCTGTAATTATTCAAAGGAGTTTGCTCTGTCCATCCACATAAGAAAGACAAAGTGGATGAAGATGTGGCTAGGTTATACAGCAGGTAGAGTGCTGGACTTGGAATCAGGGAGAACTGAGTTCACATCCCACCTCAGAAGCTTACTAGCTATGTGACCTCCTTCAAGCTGTTTCCTCATCTGTAAAATTAGGGGAATGGCCTGACCAGTCCCTTCTAGTTCTAAATCTATGATCTTACAATCCTGTAAATGTCTACTGCTCAGATTTCAATACACACTGAGATGGCTATCCCATAGAGCTTATCCAACAGTATGTACATCTGGAACAGGCACCATAAAGGGACAATAAGCTGGGTCCAGAGTTGGAAGGGAGGAGAAGAGTGGGCAGATTTCCTTCAGAAAATTGCAAAGCTCTTTCATTGACCTCATGCTTACCATGAAAACAAAGATCCATCTTTCAATCTTAACATTTTATTGATTTTGACATATGGCATTGAGATATGGAGCCCCACTGGTTCCAAATACCTTTCTAAGGAGGATTAGCCTACAGAGGACAATGGAGAGGCACATCATAGGTCTGACCAGTCAGGAACTCCAAAAAAACAGTAGTAAAGAACATCACCAAAGAATATAAAGGCAAGAAAAAAAGATAGTCAAGAGCAAGAGATGACAAGTAACAACCCAACTGCTCCAAAGGTAACCTTGTGATGTTAGAAGAAAGTGAGGAAGACCTCCAGAACCTTGGGTGGCAAACTTGAGGAAGGTCAGGGAGAAGAGGAACACTCTTCTGTTCTTAAGTCCTCTGTGCCACCCTTCTCCTTTCTTAGCAGATGACATAATTGAGATCATCCATCATGATCTCCTTTTCTTCTCTGCAATCAAAACTCCTCTAGGTCTTCATCTATCCTCACTGCCTTGGCCCTAACCTCTAAGGAAAAAGAGGTGCTTCTCTTTCCCAAGGCCAAACCCTCCACTCATGTCCTTGATCCCATTTCTTTTCCAAGTTGCTACTTGCTCTCACCCTCTTCAAATTACCCTGTAGTTGCTTACTTTTGTGTGTCTTATCTTCCAAGTTAAATGTAAGCTCTTCGAAGGTACTGTTTTATTTTTGTCTTTCAATGCCCAGAACCTACTATAGTAGGCCTTAAATACAGTAGAAACTTGGTAAATGTTTCTTCAGTTGAATTTGGAATGAAATGTCTAATAGAGTGCCACCAGTTCTCAAGAGTGCCAGCCAAATTCCTCTTAACATTTTTATCAAGGACTTGGATGAAGGCAGAAATTTTATGTTTATGAAATTTGTGGATGTTGTAAAGCTTGTAGAAGTGGTTAATATATTAGATCAGCAGTTCTCAGGGTACCGTCCAGGGATCCCTGGGCGTCTCCAAGACCCTTTCATGGGATCACCAAGGTCAAAACTATTTTCATAATAATACTAAGATACTTAATCTCTAATACAGCAAATCGATATACCCTAATAAACAAAAGCTCTTTGGTAGAGAAGAGAGTTTTATGAGTTTAAGAGAGTCTTACTAATACATATACTAATACTATTTAAAAGAAAAAGAGTTTAAAGGAGTCTTGAGACTAAAAAGTTTGAGAACTGTTATACTGAATGACAAAATCTGCATACAAATGTAACTCAGACTGGAACAATGGGCTAAATCTAGATAAAATTTAATAAGGATTATTGTAAAATCCAACATTTGGGTCCAAAGAATCAACTGCTCTAGTACAGGAAGGTGAATATTCATCACAGACAAAAGCTTATTTGAAAAGATCTAGGGGTTTTAGTGTACTTTAAGCTTGAAGTGAGTCAATACAATATGGCAACTCAAAAAAAAAACTAACACAAACTTAAGTGGTATTAAGAGAAGTATAGTATCCAGAGTAGTGGAATGAATGAATGAATGAATGAAAAAGCAATTAAACGCTTCCTATGTGCAAAGTACTCTGTTAAGTGCTGGGGATACTCTAAATATAAACACTCTTCAGGGGTGTTGAGAACCAGATGTTAAATTTTCAATATGAACATTTACACCTCAGAAATCCATTCCTTAGAAGAGCGGCAAACCCAAAGTAGTGCTAAGGCTAGATTAACCACATTAGATTGCAGGGGAAGGTGGGACTCAACAGAAGAAAAAATTTGCTTGACTTTCTACAAATTTTGGTATGTATTTACTTTGGATTCTACGGTACATAACAAAATTGTACTATGTCCCATGCCTTCTTAGTTTGATGCTGGCAAAGGAACTAAAGATACCTAGACAAAAGCTGGTCACAAAATAAAATCAGATGTGCCCAGGGAACCCTGAGGAAAAAGCATTTTACCTGGAATGAATGTCTATCTGTCCTCAATTAATAAATAGTTATTGTTAAAATATGCAAAAACAAAAACATGCAAAAATATGCAAAAATAATTTTCAAAGGCCTTTAAGCTTTTTTGAAACATTCTGAAATGGTATATATCTATATATCATTGATGTGGTCATTGCAAAACATTCTTCTCCAATGCATTAAATGAACCTGATAAAGAATATATTATTTGATGCTGTCCTAGTTTAAGCTCCCAGATATATTTGAAAGGAGCAAAGTTACATATTTAAACATCTTCCCAAACTAGATTTTTTTTTTTTTACCAATTAGGGCTAGTCTTTGCTCATTCTTTCTCCAATCCCACCCCAGCTAGTCCAAATTAGTGAAGCTTTATTAAATGATAATAAAGAATACTAAGTAGAAACAACACTTACTTGTTTCCTGTTTTCTTCCTGTTTGCTCATTTCCTGTATTCTGTCCAACACATCTTCCTTTGAAGGCTTAACCATCACTGAGTTTCTACTTAGAAGGTCGGCAATTTGCTCCATGAATAAACAGAAACGGTTCTGAGAGGTCTTTGTTTCCTCCATGCTGTTTTTCAAACTCTCCTCTGTTTCACAGAAATTTTTCTTCAAACGACTCAGCTCCTTCTTAGTGGAATCCCAGGCTCTCTGACCAATAGCTAGTCTTTCTTGTAAGATCTTAATTTCCCTCTCAAAACTCTGTTTTGCTTCTACAGCACTGGTCAAGTCCTAAAGAAAGATAAAGGGGAGTAGGGTAGAAAATAATGTCTTTGAATGAGAAAGACAAGGCAGAGAATAAAGATTGGATAATATTTTAGGTGCATACCCCGACATAAAACTGCCCTGAACAATGTCATTTCTTATTAACTCTCGTAAAGCAAAAACCGAGATGTAACATCATTCAGCCAATGGTGTGTTTATACTGGATTCCTCATTATCTCTCACCTCCCCAAATCCAAGCTGTTGCCAAAGTCTGTCAATTTCACCTTTGCAACATTTCTTGAATAGACCCTCTTCCCTCCTCTGATACTGCCATCATCCTGGCAAAGTGCCCCATCATTTCATACTTGGACTGTTGCAGCAGCCTGTCTGCCTTAAGTCTCTTCCCACTTCAATCTATCCTCCATTCAACAACTAAAGTGATTTTCCTAAAATTCAGGTCCAATTATGTCATACCCCTTCTCAATAAACTCCAGTGGCCCCTATTGCCTCTAGGATCAAATACAAAATGATCTTTTCGGTATTCAAAACCCATCAGAACCTAGACTCTTCCTATCTTTCCAATCATCTTCTATCTTACTCCATAATACACTCTTCAATCCAGTGACACTGGCCTCCTAGCTGCTACATAAACAAGACACTCCATCTCCAGGCATCTTATCTGGCTGGCCCCGTGCCTGGAACACTCTCCTCCACTCTCACTATAGATCTCCCTGGTTTCCTTTAAGGCCCAAATAAAATCTCACCTTCTATAGTAAGCCTTTGCCGACCCCTCTTAATTCCAGTGCTTTCCTTCTTTTCATAATTTCCTATTTATTCTGTACATAGCTTGTTTGTCCATATTTGTTTGCTTATTGTCTCCCCCATTAAATTGTAAGTCCCTTGAGGACAGGGAGAGTCTTCTGGCTCTTTTTGTATCCTTGGCACTTAGTACACTGCCTGTCCTATAGTAGGCACTTAATAAATGTTTACTGAAGTGAATTACTTGTTGAAAATATGAAACTAACTGCCCCCTGGAATTTGTTTCATCTGAACTCATGGTTTCCTACAAACAATTAGGGATTGGAGATAGGATCTCCAATTGGAGATAGCTATATTAGGTATACCAATTGATTTACTTTGATTATTAATGACAAAAATTTTAGGGTGAGAGTTTTGTTTTATCCCTTATTCTAATTATTCTACCTTTTCTTCCTAAAGCACCAGTTAGTATTCCAGATGCAAAGAATATGCCAGGTAAATTAGGAGTTAAAAAAAAGGAATCAAATCAAAATCAACAAACATGTATTACCACTATGAGCAGGGCACTGGGGAGGAAACAAAGTTTTAGATAGAAAATGGTCCCTGACCTCAAGCAGCTTAGAGTTTCATAAAGAGATAAGCCATCATCATAGATAGTTATGACACACAATTTTACATGAGAATTGAATTAAGGAGTTTGCAAAATAAAAT